GGAGGAGCTAGACCTGGTCGAAGAAATTTGGTCAGAGGCATCCCTATGTGAACCCTCGCTCAAGCAAAAAATAACTTTGCGACATGACAACAAAGTCATCAAACGTGAATTCCAGATAGGCAGCCAAGTCCTACGAAGGAACCAAAAAGACTCACTCGAAGGAAAACTCGCCGCAAACTAGGAAGATCCATATCGCGTCCGTGCAAGAATAAAAAATGGGGCCTACTACCTCGAAAACTTGCACGGAGAGGAATTCGCTCGACCATGAAACTCTGAAAAAGCTTAAACAATATTACAGTTAAACACTGTCCACGACGTACTCGGTTTGACTGTGACAAAGTGCGCTGCAACCACATGGGTGCGCTAAAGTACAAGTGCGGTTCCTAAACACGAGACAAAAAACAATAGCTCGTTCTTGTATGTGCGAGCGAACTCTTGATCCGACGGGGACACCTTAACTGAGCTCCACCGTTGTCTGCCAATTAGGAAGAACTCCTAGCTCATGATGCAAAGTTCACGCCACGAAGCAAAGACCTCGATTAGGCTCTTAGCTTCATCGATAATCAAAACCCAACTCCGACCACTCGGTCAGTTCTCCACACGGTCGAGGACCAACTACGTTGAGCAAAGGCCCCGATTACTTAGTAAAAATAGGCAAACACAATATTTCATATTCATGAGGAAAATAAGAATTTGACATACAATTGCACACAAAAAATACGAACATATCAAGTAACAAGACACAATGCACTCTGGCGAGCAAAAAACCCATTGTTGAAGCATTACAAGCCAAGGTGCGCAGCCAGGCAATATCAAAACCCATGGCACGCAGATCGGTCAAGGTCAGGTTATAAACTAGGGCATGCAGGTCGGGCAAAATAATAAAAAAAAAGTGACACACAGGCCAAGCAGATAAAAAGAATCAAACAACGACTTCATCCTCAGACCAGGGCTCTCCGTCGCTCTGGTCAGCTCCGCTGTCAAACACTTCAAAGGCAACGATTTAGTCGTCGACCACCTGGTGCAAAGCTCTGATCCTGTCGGTGACAAGCTGGAGCCCGAGGTTGACAATATGAAGTTGCTTCACCACTATATTAAAGCTCAGGTAAAGGGTCCCCAGTCAATCTTGCTTGAGCAACCGAATCTGGGAAACTAAGTCGCCCCGGGTCGCCAAGAGCTTTTCTTAGGCACTTTCGTCCTCGACAGGGTGAGCAACGACTTCCAAACCAGTAACTTTAACCCGTAGTTGGTCCCTCTCCTCCTCATTCTTCCACAATTGTTGCTACAACGCGCTCATATCCTTAAAGACGCACACCTAGGCCTCAAACTTCGAGCGATAGTCAAGAAGGTCTGTTTCCACCTTGCCCTTCTCCTCCTCCAAGAGTGCATTCTCCTACTGTGTCTTCTTCAGCTCAGAGGAGGGTCTAGTTTCGTCGTTAAGTACTATGTATGTCTAAAAAATCCTCATCATGGTCGCCGTGTCCTCGTACAGGGCTTTCCTCCTGCTTGTCTTATCAAACCCCATGATTGCTTCAGACTCCTCCGCGGGCACGTTCAGAGATTTTTCCCCGCTGAAGAGCTCCTGTTGGAGGTGGCAAGGAGGCAACACGAATCTTTCCCCGACAACACCGCCTAGAAGGTCGACGAGGCCAGACTCTTCGAGACGCTGCTTCTTGGTCGGAAGGTCTTGAGAGATCGGGGACTGACTCCCTCGAGGAGAGGAAGAACCCCTAGAATGATGGTCGTCATGAGTCATCTCTTTTGGACCTGGGTGACGCGGCTTTTGGCGGCTTTCTTGACATCATTGGTCCTTGCAAGCTTCAATACTCGCTCTTGGATGCTCGACATCTGGCCTGCGGCAGAGAAAAAGAAAAGCAAGTTAATATAGCGAATAAAAACAAGCGGGCACACGAGCGAAGAATACACCCACTACCTAAGAAACCTCAAGGCTTCCTCGTCAGGCCCACACTCGATGAAGGCCTTAGTGTTAATTAACCGAGACTCATAGTGAACCTCCTCGCGCTCCTCAAGCATAAAGACCAACTTTGACTTCCTTGATTTGTTAATCTCCTTCTTAAGAGCTGACCAAAGAGTCATAAATACTTTTAACAGTAGACATGTTAGTAATATTGGTGAATTCCAGAAAGAGTTAATACTCATCATGATGGTTCTCGTATTTTGATGAAGTTTATAAACTTTCTTATCCGTGAGAGATAAAGTTTCCTAATTATAGATACTCCACAGTAGTTGTTAGTAATGGTGCAACCCTTTTCAACCGTGTCTCACTATTATCCTTGATTCATTAAAATAAGTGGTTTAGAAAAAAAAAAGTATGTTTAGATGATTCTTCTCCTAAATCAATCATGTTTTTAAAATAATTTTTACTCTTACAAGGTTAAGTGCTTTGAATAAAATACTAGTGTTTTGATGCTAACTAAAATTGGAAAAGCTACAAGAAAAAAGGAGTTTAAACTGTGTTTAAATTTTAAAAAAGATTATATTCTCAAACACAGAGTATTGTGACACATTAATAAAGAGAATAAGGATAGAAGATTACACACATATACATAAGGTTCATATTGGTTCACCTTGTTAATAAAAGGATTATCCAATCTCCTCACACTTGAGAGATTTTTACTATAACCACATTTTATTATGGATAACCTCTGAAACAAACTAGTCTATTTCCTTGCCTTATACTAGAGGATTTCCCTGTCTTACCTCCTCTCCTCTGTAAGGACTTTCTCATCTTAAACTTTTAAGAACTTACTTACCTCACACCAAAGGACTTTGAAAAAATCACAAAGTGTTTTTGTTACACACTACAATAAAAAAATTGCTAGGTGCTAATCACTTTGCAAACGTAAAAAGCACCTCGCAACATCTATTTTCAGCGAGTTTCAATCATTTCGCTAAAACGTTAGTCGCAACTTTTTTGCTGAGTGAAAATCGCCTCACAAATTGCTGAGTGAAAATCACCTTGCAAATTACTGAGTGAATATCACTTCGTAACTCACTTTTTAAAAAATGGTTCAAAACTCAGTGTGTAAAACATGAAGAGTAGATGGTAGAGTTGTACATCGTAGCATTTTGCTGAGTGTATTACACCTCACAACATTTTGCTTAGTGTATTTCACTAGACAACTTTGCTGAATGTATTTTATTTGACAAATTTTTTATGTATTTAAAAAAATTATTATATATTTATATTATACATAATATTTTTATAATTAAATTTATATATAATATATTAAATTAATAATAATATAATATAATATAAATTTATATATTTATATTATACATAATATTTTTGTATTTAATAATATTTAAATTCAAATTTTATTAGATTATATATTTTATTTTACTATTAAAAATTAATTAAAAATTGAAAAAATACATATACTAATTTTTATTTGTCTTAAGTATAACTTTTTTATTCTATTTTATTAAAAAGACGAAAGATACATGTTAGTTTGTTGAGCGTTTTTCACACCACAACACATATGAACATTGTTGCATGCATAACATGTTGTTTTCGAATTTGAAAAATTGAGTTTGGCACAAGAAAATTATCGGGACGAGTCGCGTACTAGGTCGCTTTCTTTAAGACGTTCCGCCGTACTGCCAAAATATACAAAGCAGTCGATTTACGACGACGCCTCCAGGATAAAACAACCCGTTCAAAAACTTACGATTATCAGTTGCACACTGATAAATCGCTCTAGAAATACACCTTTCGTCACAATATCTGGCTAAAATAATCAGTCGAAAAAACAAGAAAAGAAAGATTTTAGATGAAGAGAATTAAGGGAGAGAAGATGATCAGTCGAAAAAACAAGAAAAGAAAGATTTTAGATGAAGAGAATTAAGGGAGAGAAGATGGAAATCAAAATTCGTGTGAATTTTCCACCGAATTATATTAATTAATTAATGATAATTAAATTACCGGACCGGACCGAGCTGACCGGACGGCGGCGCGCGTGTCTTGATGGTCATGGGTGTGTCCTCACTCTTTTCACAAAATTGGGTGCCCTTTAGGGTCCAACCCAATTGATCAAGTTGGAATATATAAACACTACTAATATTTTCATTTCCTTCAATGTGAGACTAAAATGAATCTTTTCAAATTCACTTCTATATTAGTTCTTACTTGTGTTTATTTATTGCCCATTAATTATCAATAAATCTTTCTAATTCCCACTCTAATTAATAAAATTCCAACATAACACGTCACAATATCACGTTGTTGCTATGTGAATAACACTTCGCAACGCATGTGACGTTGGTGAGAGATTACCACTTTGCAATCTTCTGACAGCTTTGTCAAACTATTGCAGATGATGTATTTACTAAATTTTGTTTTTTTTGATAAATGACTTGTGATTGTTTGCTAATATGTGATTGTTTTCCAAAGTTAACAAACTTAAAGTGACACAACAATAAGTAGAATATATATGTGTGTATGTTTTAAGGTTGAGGTTGTCTTTTTATATAGAACTCAAGATTGAGACTACAATTTTTGAAACAAGCTGCCTTCAAGAGTATTGGGTAGTAGAGACACTTTGACAGAGAACAATACAAGATTGTGGAAGTACCTCAATGGGATGGAAAGGTAGAAAAAAATCCCAGGTGGAAGTTAACACAATGAAATTGTTACTCAGAGTCTTCAAAGTTCAAAAATGACGAACAGTTCTATTTATTTTTTTAAATAATACCAAACCTTGCAAGTTTAAGTCATAAATAAAAATTGTATAAAAAATTTTTCCTTCCAACACAGTATAAACTGTGTTTTGATCAATTAACAGCATAAAAAATATAATCAAAATGTTTTCTGATAAGTTAGCTAATAGAAACAATCTATCATTAAGCAATGCTGGATCTTGGATTGAATATGAAGCATTCAAGATCATATCTAAATAAAGATATCATTTTTTTTTTAACTGCGGTTTAATTATTATCATACAATTAATAAGTAGTACAATAGATTTATGCTTATGCTATCATAAAATTGATTTTACATCAGAATCATTGAAATCACTTTCAATAGGTTGTATCCTGTGACCAAATAACATTATTGAAGCCGGACTAGTTTTCTTGGTGTTGTAGTTGGAAGAAGTGGAAGCATGATGGTGCATGCTATTGAACCTTGAAGGATCTCTCTCTATCTCACTTGATAAGACAGAACCTTGAGCACCTCTCAACTTTTTTGTTGGAGGGAATTGTATATCCCATTCAATAACTTCAACCTGCCAAGGACTTAATTGCTTTAGATTCTCAGAGACTTGAGGATCATCCCATTCAACCTACAATATTGACAAGAAAAATGTAAGAATTAAAATTAAGATCATACTTGCATCAAGAATATTTACAGTGAAAATTGTATATGCATTTGAAATACCCGAAGCATGCGCCATGGACGAGTTGAAGGAGGGGAGAAATTAGATATTGTACCATTAAAAATGGAAATTCCCTTTGGAGTATCGTCATTCTTCACCATGTGTGTAACTCTCATCCCACATCTCCAATTAACCTTCATTGCATCCTCCACAGTCTTTGCTCCAACCACAAAATCAAAACCACCAACCGTCGGATAGTACACAGCCTCAAACGCTGCGTTCTTCTCTGCCAACTTTATTGCCATACTCACTTCCTTTTTAGTTATTTTGGCAGTGCCGGCAACCTTTGTTTTCCTGCGAATTCCAAGTGAGATATTTCCAACCGAGTTTTTAACAAAAACAATAGTATCACCGCTGACGAGTTTCTTAGCACCAACAAATCCACTCCAACCACTGGAGAACAAGTGTTGAAAGGGATATTTCCGGTGGACATGGTGAAATTTCCAGACTACACTGCAAACGTCGGTGAGAAAGAGATCTTGACATGGAGATTGGTTTATAGAGTCAACCGGCGGGAGCGCTGGAAAGATTGAGTTGGCACAGGCCATAGGTACGTAGAGTTTACCTCCTCTTTTAACATCAGTATTGGTCAGAATCTTAGCATAGGAAACAATCTGATCACCATCCTCTTCGTTGCTACTCTCAAGAGGAACGACACTTCCGTCAATTACGGGAGTGAGAAGTAATTTTGCATAAACTTGATGAGTTTCACGATCTGCAAGGTGATCAACGGCGGAAACTGTGCAGAGAATCATGGGACGGCAACCATCGAGTGTTTGAGTGTTAGGAGTGTTTGGGCAGACATGTTGTAAATGACCTTGAGGGAAATAGTATACTTTGGAATGAAGTTTCGGAACGGTGAAGGAATCTCCGGCGAAAGCCTGCCAGACTTTTGGATCTACGCGGTGCTGTTGTTGCTGTTGAGACATGGCGGAATGATATATAGCAGAAGAGAAGAGAGAAAGTGTGATATTGAAAAGAGAGCGCGAAGATGCAAATAGGTTTGAGTTTTGCTTTCGGAAACGTTGGTATAAATACCAGTTAGATCAATCGTCGTGCACGAAATTTTTCATTTGTATTTAATCTAACGGTTATTCATCATCATCTTCCCGTTACCAAAAAGTTTTATTCATTTTTTATAAAAGCTTGATTTGTTTTTTTAACACTAATAACTTAATGTGAATTTTTTTTCTTCTAATAACATGTTTAAAAAAAAACAAATATAACCAAGAATTTAAAGAAATTTTTAAAATGGTTAAGTTTCAACGTGCTAACGCCATTTGAAATGGCTAATACGTGAAACCATTAATCAATTCGTCATTTCATATGGCGCTACTTTTGTATGAGTGCCCTAAAGCTTCAGAGGAGGAGGAGCCATATTCCATTTTTTTTATATTAATCAATATTGTGTTTTAGAAAGAAAAAAATAATGAAAAGAAATAATAAATTATAATATTTATAATATAAAAAGTGAAAATAGTGTACAACAGACAACAAAAGAAAAATCAATGACCGACCCTATCAAAACGACCACCGGTTTCACATTGGAGAGGATTTGCACGGTGTCGAGGTCTACCACGAGCTTGTTGAGGTGCATGTGACATTTGTGTGTTGACTTGTGGAAGAGGTATTTGTTGAGATGGTCCCGGCGTATCAGATACATTTTGAAGCATTTGACCCCAATAGCCGGGGGGTTGCTGCCAACGACGCTTCCGTAATCCAGTTTCATGCCCATGTTTTCGTAGTTGGGACGGGGAGATTGGGTCGGGTGTAAACAGTATGGTTGGTCGAATTGGTACATCGAATCGGTTTAGAAACTATGCAATGATTGTTGTAGGATTTGGTAGTCAACAAGTGGATAGGTATTTTGATGGTAGGAAGATTGTGTGTTCATTCGTGGGGGGATATAGTTGGCTGGTGTGGGGCCGAAAGAGTTATCAGGGCTATAGTTGGATGGGGTAGGGTCGAAAGAGTTATCAGGGCTATAGGCAGAAGTGGTGTCGGTTTCGGGAGGTTGACGGTGGGGGTAAGGCTCTTGTTGTTGTGATTGGGTTTGTGGCATGTATGGGTTGCGGTTTTGAAAGATTGATTGGGTGAGCATAGTTTGATGTTGGGTATAGCATGGTGTTTGATGTTGGGCATTGGGTTGTTGTTGTGTGTTTGAGGAAAAAGCACGTTGTCTTGGGTCAATCAAATATGTCGGTTACAACATCACAGTAGGATCGATTAAGATGTGTCAATGTCGATTATTCCAATGCAGACACATCTCTTTTGCAAATTCCTTCCAATGATTTATACTCCATTGTGTATCCACCCTAAGTTGATGCCAGTCTCCCAAAGACGTCGGAGCGACTGGAATATTCTGATGCATCTCGAACTGCAGTTTCACCCGATCTGTTTGGTGCATCTCCACTATAGTGAACTGAACGATAGGTGTTTTAGCTATCCACACAACATAGTTGGCGTTTGGCTGATGGTCGAGATCCTCGTACAACATCCAGACAAACTACATTAACAATATGTTTAATGAGAAAAAATAAGACGTGGTTATTAAATAGACAAATTAATGATACCTCGTTGGTAGATAAATTACATCGTCTGGCTCAATGTGTTTTATAAGGTTGCGGTAGACGATTATTGAGTTCCTGGGACATCTTTGGTAATTCATTCCCAGAACAGACCACCTAAAAAAAAGAGACACAAAAAAATTAGTTACTAAGAAACATCATTGGTATACACGTTTTAAAAATAAACTTACTTGTTATCGTATGAGAATGTGAATGGATTCCGGTTGATAGGAGCTAGGGTTGGCATTCTAAACCAACCCCACGCTTGAAGGAGATAGACGCAGCCATAAAAAGTACAAGAATTTTTTTTTGAATTTTTACATAATGAACTATATAGACAGTTGAACCCCAACTATATGTGCACACTTTATTAATATTGTACAACAATGGTAAATACATAATATTTACACTATTTCCAGTACTTTCTGAAAATAAAAAATGACTGAATAATATCATAATATAACACCGAGTTTTAAGTATCTTCTCATACTCGGTAGATTTCTCATTTAACATGATACTATTATAGTGTTCTCTTAGGTATTTCAAATTAATATCTTGCCCCCTCGGTCGACCTTCACGTTGTGGCTGAGGTGTTTTGACACATAGAGGGGCGCCCAGTAAATCTTCGCAAAGTTGGTCATTAACACAAACTTTGTCGTTGATAGCCTTACCATTGATGTGTAGGTCAAATAACATGTAGACATCTTGTAAAGTGACAGTACATTCACCGAAAAGAAGGTGAAATATGTGGGTCTCTGGTCTCCAACGTTCTAGCAACGCTAGAATAAATTTGGGATCCAGTGAGTACGATTTGATTTTTATAAAATCACCAAACCCACGTGCTTTTAGGTATCCTTCTATGAATGGGTCTTGCGGTATGTAGTCATGCACACGACAGCGAAACCTTGATACATTCTGCCAAAGAATATAAATAGCATTAGTTTTAAAGAAAAATTCAACTTAGTAAAGAATGACAAAAAAAAAAGCAAAATACTTGCAAACTCTACGAAGTTCTCAATTTTTCCTTTGTGATCGTTGCCCATTGTGAGTAGAAACATTGTGAGTTAAGTTTGATCAGTGAAGTTTGATGACTGATGAGAAACGTTTGCTGAAAGTTTGAGGAGTAGAGTTTGTAATATGATGAGAATAGTTTGTACCTTGATGAACATGTATTTATAATGGTTAAATGTGATGAGAGGAGTCACATAAAAATGCATGTTGAAACATGATGACAATGGTGCAACGAAGCGTGCAAGTAATGTCTTACAAGATTCTTGGTCATTGTTATGCAGAGAATCTTGCAGTCATTGATTGATAGAGTGTAGTCTTGTCATGCATGTGAAGCCATTGCATGTGAAATATAAGTTTTGCTAGAGTGTAGTGTTGTCATGCATGCAGAGTATAGTGTAGTCTTAAAAATGTAGTCCTGCAAGGGTAATAGTGTAAGCATGTCACAACTACCACTATTAATGCATGTTGAAACATGATGACAATGGTGCAAGGAAGCGTGCAAGTGTTGTCTTACAAGATTCTTGGTCATTGTTATGTAGAGAATCCTATAGTCATTGATTGATAGAGTGTAGTCTTGTCATGCATGTGAAGCCATTGCATGTGAAATATAATTTTTGCTAGAGTGTAGTGTTGTCATGCATGCAGAGTATAGTGTAGTCTTAAAGTGTAGTTTTGAAAGTATAATCTTGCAAGGGTAATAGTGTAGGCATGTGACAACTACCACTATTAATGTACGCTGAAACATGATGACAATGGTGCAAGGAAGCATGCAAGTGTTGTCTTACAAGATTCTTGGTCATTGTTATGCAGAGAATCTTGCAGTCATTGATTGATAGAGTGTAGTCTAGTCATGCATGTGAAGTCATTTCATGTGAAATATAATTTTCGCTAGAGTGTAGTGTTGTCATACATGCAGAGTATAGTGTAGTCTTAAAAGTGTAGTTTTGAAAGTGTAGTCCTGCAAGACTACTAATGCTTGCTGAAACGTGATGAACTTTGTGCAAGGAAGCATGCAAGTGTTGTATTACAAGATTCTTGGTCATGCAAAGTGTAGTCTTGTCCTGCAGAGAGTCACATGAGGCATGCAAGACAATGAATACTGTGCTTGTAAGACTCTTGCTTTGAAATTTAATTTAGTGCAATACACGAATGCAAAAGACTTTAATTTATTTTGTGTTGAGTTTTATAAATAACTATTAAAGATATGATCAAATATTTATCTATTCATTTAATTTCATAACTTTTTTACAACTAAAAATAGTTTTATAATTTATGTTGTGTTGAGTTTTGTAAATAATCTTTTTTCAAAACAATATGACATGGACATTTTTTAGTAAGAAAGCATGTAAAATAATATCCTGCATGACCAATAGTGTAGGCATGTGTAAAACAATATCCTACAAGACTAATATTGTATGCATGCAGAGTGCAGTCTTGTCGTGCAGATAATCTTGTAGGCATGCAAGACTATATGGTAGTGTGCATGCATGTGATAATGAATAGTGTTTTAATACATGTGTTAATGCATGTGATAATAATAAATGACAATAGGTAATAGGTCATAATTACTGAAATAAAAAAATTAGAACAAGACATGTGATGAGATAAGACGATTGCATGGAATACGAAGTACAATGATAATTAATAAAAAACAATACTAGTAACATATCCTTTCAAACACTAAAATTTATAAAAGAATCCTTTCAAACACGAGTTTAGTAATGTATTTGTTATGGCTCAAACACCACAATACATGATCAGTGCACATTTAAACGGTGAGGTTTTTGAATGTAACTTAATCGATCTCAATTTTTGAAATACAGACGTTACTAGGTTTTTGATTGACAGAAGATCAATTTTTTTACATTTGAAAGCGATATTAGAAAAGAAATTACAGTGTGGTCCAGTTGGCCAAATAATCTATAAGAATCCTATTTTTTTGGCGGGCACAAGCAATGCAAATTTTTTCAGTTAAAGATTCAAGACGATTAAGATGTGTGTAACATGTTTCTCAGTCATGAGTGTTCTGATTTCTTAGATATTGAGCTATATATTAGGTTACAACAACAACTGTCTCAACAACTTGATTCTTCTAAAGTTTTTTACGAATCTGATGATGAACAAGCTGAAGCCGATGCCATTTACGAAGAAGAAGAAGAAGCTGAAGTAATTATTGATGACATGGTAAACAACGGGGAAGACATATTACCAGTCAGTCATGTTTATTGCCCACCTCAACACATGACAAGTCTCGACTTAGGTGACGATGAACCATCAACAGATATTTTTTATAATCCATACTTGCCAACAGAAGGAGTACTAAAAGAGGGAGACAACTATCGTACAAAAGA